ATATACATATACATATACATATACATATACATATACACACTGTGTATACACACACACACACACACACACACACACACACACACACATATATATATGGTGGAATATTACTCAGCAATCAAAAAGAATGAAATCTTGCCATTTGCAACTACATGGATGGAACTAAAGGCTATTATGCTAAGTGAAATTAGGCAGTCAGAGAAAGACAAATACCATATGACTTCACTCATATGAGGACTTTAAGAGACAAAACAGATGAACATAAAGGAAGGGAAACAAAAATAATATAAAAACAGGGAGGGAGACAAAAACATAAGAGACTCATAAATATGAAGAACAAACAGAGGGTTGCTGGAAGGGTTGTGGGAGAGGATGGGCTAAATGAGTAAGGGGCATTAAGGAACCTACTCCTGATATCACTATTGTACTATATGCTAACTAACTTGGATGTAAATTTGAAAACTAAATTAAATAAAAATTTTGCAAATAAATGAAATAAAATATTATAAAATGTAAAAGAATAAAAATAAAAAAAGTAAAATGATTCTCTGAGCAGCCAAGTCATTAGGATTTTTATCTGCTGTATCCAGCAGAAAAGAGGAGAAAACAATGAGAATGTATGCAATCAGTGCTCCTGAACTGATGGAAATCTTTCACTGTGGCACTTAGAAGAGCTCAGCTCTGCGGGCATCTTCTGACTCCCTTCTGCACACAAAGATTTAACTACCATATGTCTAGTTATCCTGACCCATTAATTCCTACGAACTGCCCTAGAGGACAACTTACCTTTATACTATAAAAGATCATGTAGTTGATGAGATTTTCAGAGTAAGTTGGCAGAGTGACACTATCACAGATTCTCTCCCACCACAACTAAATAAATTTACAAATTTTAAGTAAAACAAGACCTAAAAAAACTAAACCAGTAGCAATCAAACATAAGAAGAGACACAGCCTTATGCCTACTCTGTGAAAAGCATAAGCTGAAGAGGGGGAGGAGATGGAGAGAGAGCTTATTCCAGGAAGTAGTATATCTACTAATAGTGAAGGGAAAAAAGGAAGAGGGAGAAAGAAGAAAAAGTTAAATATACATATAAAAAGAATACTTCCAGTGTAGGAAGAAGATAAAAGTTGTGGAAAGTCCAAAGAAAGAAAACGTAAAAATCTACCTCTGTTCCCCCAGAAGCAGGAAAAAAAAATTCTCCAGAGCTCATTGTCTATTTTGTATCTTGTTGAGTTTTTTTTTTTTTTCCCCTGCTCAAAACAAAGCTGCAAAGAAAAGACAGGCTATTCACGGTGACCTAGAGCTAATTATATCCAACAAAATATATGCATCCAGCAAAACAGAACACCAAAAACAAAACAAAACAAAACAAAACAAGAAATATGAACAGAAGAGAAGTAAAACAAGCTCATAGAAAGTGCTAAAGGCCCAGGGTGAAAAAGGCACAAAGAACCCTGGGTGTTGAACCCCTCCTTCCCCGCAGATGATGAGGTTGTAAGTCCAGCCCACAGGCCTGATCTTAGTTCAGCCATATGAACAGTAGTTGGGAAGAAGCAGGTAAAGAAGGTGAAGCTTATCTCCAGGTGAGGAATTGTTTCCAGAATTCACCCCACGTTTGTTATCTCTCCAGGCCTCAGACATCAGCTCACATAGTTCTAGTAGACTCTGGGCAGGGCTTTGGATGAAACTGGAGTGACAAAAGCAGAAGCATAAACCAGACTCACAAAAAGTAGCTTCCCACAATCCAAATGAGCTGTCCTCCTCTCCCGTCCCTCCGACACAGAAAATAAACACAATACACATTACCCAGAGTGAAGATACAAACCAGTCTCAACTATGATGTGAAAGGAGTTTAAGGGATCCCACCAGCACAATGTCAGAGAAAACCATGGGTCTTAAACATCAGTGACAGTTAACATTTATTGCTCACTGTGTGACAGGCACTAACCACTTCACATATATTAATTCACTGAATCTACACAACAGCCTAATAAGGTAGGTACTACTCTTGGTATGTAATTCCATAATCAAAAACCCTGAAGCCAAATGTGTCTTGAAACTCAGATTATTTTTCAGATTTTAGAAAGGGATGAAGGTGTATGTGCCATCAAAGACATAAAAACCACGGGTCCCACAGAAGCACGCTGTAAACATGTTAAAATTTCCAATTAAATCTATGAATATTCACACTAATTGGGACAATAAATCCTATAGGTAGCTCATATCAATTCAAATCAGGTCAAGTTGTGCCTCTAAATAAATGTATGGCAAACATACAAAAACTTAGGGCTTTCAGAGCCTTTTAGATTATGAAGAGATCCAGACTTGTAGTGGTAGTCCCTGAACCAGTGAGAAAACTACTGTAGAGGAAGTTTCAGCTCACAAATTCACCTAGGTCAGAAGGTAAAAGTAACAGAACCTAGGTAAAAACCCAGACTCCAGGGTCTGAAAGTTTAACTCCGTTGACGGAATCACCAGTGCACATCCATTGACGCAGCAAGTGTTTATTAAGCAACTACTAAACTATAGGAGCCAGGGATCCAGCAGTGAACAAGGTGGGTGGAGCCCCCATATTCATGGAACTTACAGTTTAGGAGGGACAATAAACAAATATGTAGTATGCCAGGTAGTGATAAATGCTAGAGGTGGCCCAGTGACTACCTTTCAGACCAGGCCCTCCCTACCCCCCATGTAAAACAATAACCCAGTTTCCCTTTGGTAATAGGGATCAGGCATCATGGCCTGCTGCTTCAGTGCCTCGGAGAGCCTAAAATGGCCATCGGGGCATTCTCTCTAATTTACTTCAACAAAACTGTATAACCTGATGGAAACACCCATCCCTTAGGCAATAGAAGTCGCAACTCACTAAGACCAAAGTTGCAGAAATGAGAAGGAGAAATTCTAGATTCTCAGGTGCAATAGTGAGAAGAGTCACTCATAACTCCACTTCTGGGTTCCCAGATTATATATCCTGACTGTAAGGGAAGAATAAAAACAATACTCAAATAAAGTGTAGATTACTTCCTGCGGGAGAGCACTAAAACATCACAAAGCACTGTCTTCAAGCTGACCCTGTAACTCAGATTTTATACCTTTCTATCAGTTCTGCTCTTCTATCAGTCCACCTGCTTTTAGATCATGAGTAAGTGGGAGACCAATGAATCTCATGGGCGTGAACTTATTGCCATACTTCTTTCACTCTGAAATGAGTTTCTTGGTGATGGATGATGTCGTAAGGAACAACATGCTGTTTTGTGGATCTCTCAATAGTAGATGGGAGTACTGACAGAAGAAACGTGTAAAGGGAACCAAATCCATAACCAGAACGTTAGTCCTGTAAGGATAGCCTCAATCAACATATTTGATTTATCACTGGGTGGCGGACTGATTCTGCTGAAGAAGAAGCCATGTTGAGGGCAAAGTGTTGGCCTGTGCTGCAGACAGGTTGACCACTCAGCAATAGCAACAGTCTGATTAGCCTTGTTAAGAGAGAGTCTATGCTGTTAGACTTACGCATAACTTCGTCCCTCATGCCATACATGCCCACTTTGTAGATGAGTCTTTTTTTTTAATGGTTATTTATTTGGAGAGAGAGAGAGACCAGGAGCAGGGGAGGGGCAGAGGGAGAGGGGAGCAGAGCGTCTGAAGCGGGCACTGTGCTGATAGTAGACAGCCTGATGTGGGGCTTGAACTCACGAACCGTGAGATCATGACCTGAGCTGAAGTCAGACACTCAATCTACTGAGCCACCCAGGCACCTCTGTAAATGAGTCTTTTAAGCAACTACTATGGCTGGTAAAAGGCTGACATCTACAGCACAGGACATCCTGCCACCTCATTACTGACAGCTGGCTCGGGAGGGACATTCCCTTTTTCTAAGACCTTCTTGTCATGAACCTGCCAGTTTGTCTAAGACCCTGAGGAGTCAGCTAATCTGCTAGCAGGCCTGTGACCCCATGCACATCTATACTTCAGACCACCTTCTTTTCTAAGGGCAGAAGAGCACCAGATGTACTGTGAAAGCTCTGCCCCTAAGGAAGTTCCCCGTCACCAATGACCAGAGAGGCACTCTTAACCAAATCTGTACAAATACGTTAACTCTCTGCTACCAGCTGGTGCCGGTGTATTAGACGCACTCACGTGTCAACCAGGCTTTCAATTTTTCCTCTTCTGTTCATTGGTCATAGGCAACTCCCCACGAGGCCGTATGTATGAGATGAAGGAAAGGTGGTGAGGAGAAAATGGCACCATGAGAATCTGAGCCACCTTTTCATCAAATTTACTAGCACCCTTTGGAGCTGCTCACACCTAGACCCACTTTTAGTAACGATGGATCGTTTCTATGCAGTTTAGGATATGGTAGATTGGAAAAGACCAGACAATAATGAGCTTCTCAAATCTCACGGTCCCTTAGTATCTCATGGTCAGCTATCCTGTCTTTCTAAGGACCCCATAGCAAAGCGGGAACTGCTTATCACACAGAGAATCTTGACAGAAGGAAAGGTCAGAGTTTCCTCTGAAATCCTAGGGTGGGAAAGCCAATACACAATGATCCTCCTATTGAGGCTTTACTGAAGGCCATATACACAACAAGAATCATTAAGTGCAAGTGGTAAGGCAGCTCCCACCACTGTGCGAAGCTTCTATAGAGCTCTCTTTAGGTCTCCTCTCAAAAACAACAGCCTCATTGAAAAAAAAAATAATAACAGCCTTTTAAGCAAGTCAGTAAATGAAACAGAGTAACATACACAAAGGTGGTTTATAGGGCCTCCAAAATCCAAAAAGGCCCACCCAAAGTCCCAAAATTGTGGTGTGCAATTCAAGCTATAATAACTTGACTTTCTCTTTAGAAGCAATATACAGATAAACACCAGAACATTAGAATTCTAGCAACTAACCAATATAGTAAATCCTTGAATTTTTGTGGGGTTTATCTCCCACCCACAGACACACAAAAGTCTTACTAAGATATATAAGTCATTGGCTATTTTTTACTCACCAGATCTGATTATCAAAATGTCATCAATGCAATGGATTGGTGTAATTTTCTGCAGGACATCAAGACGAGCAAGGTGCCTCTAGTACATTATGACAAAGAGCAGGAGAGTCGACCTGGTCTATTAAGATGTTACTCTGGGCCCTCTGTAAAAATAAAAAATACTTTGGATTTTACTATTGGAGATAGGAATTTTTTTGATAGGTCAGTAGCTACAAACAAGGGGCAAGACTTTCCTGATTTACTCCAAGAAAGATAGCATATCTTTAGAGCAGCTGTAATGGTGTCAACTCATGGTCATTCTCCAAGATCGACCTAGCCTTTAGGTCAATGACATAAGTAAGTTAAATAGAAATATGGCCCTAATCTCCATAATTACTTTCAGAAATGTTGCACAGCTTTTAGTTTACCATTTTGACTTGGTGAGGGTACTGTGAGGGAGACTGGAAACTTTTGGAATAAATGAAAGTCTACAAGACCAATGACCCAGTTTCTTCACCAAACATCATTAAGAGTAGGGAGAGGGAACTGTTATAGATTAAAGACGCTTGAGATATATCAGGAATTTATTTAGGTACTGATTCAACCAAATCATCAAAAAAGTCATTCTTTGATGCAATTAGGGAAATTCAAACGTGGGCTGTGTAGTAGATAATATTAAGAAACTATTGTTGGGGCACCTGAGCGTCTCAGTTGGTTAAACATCTGACTTTGGCTTAAGGAATGATCTCACAGTCCGTGAGTTTGAGCCCTGCATCCGGCTCTGTGCTGACAGCTAAGAGCCTGGAGCCTGCTTCAGATTCTGTGTCTCCCTCTCTCTCTGCCGCCCCCCCTCCCCAGGCTTATGCTGTATCTATCTCTCTCAAAAATAAATAAACATTAAAAAAATGTTTAATAAAATACATTTAAAAAAATTTTTTTAAAGGAAACTATAGTTATTTCTTTCAATGTGTTCATGATATTGTGATTACATTAAAAAGAAAAAGTCCTCGGCATCTGGCTGGCTCCACTGGAAGAGCATGCAACTCTTGATCTCAGGGTTGTGAGTTCGAGCACCACATTGAGAGTAGAGATTATAAATAAATAAGTAAATAAATAAATAAACAAACAAATAAATATTCCTTATCTGTTGGAGGTACATAATAAAGTGTTTATAGATAATGTGATGTCTGGAAATTCTTTTTAGAACTCTCCCATACATGGGGGAATGTGTTAGTATGGTTAGATAAAACAATATATTAATAATTGTTAGAGTAGAGGATGAGCACTTCACCTATAACCATTCTCTATACCTCTATGTGTCTGAATTTTTTTTTTTGTAACAGGTTTGAAGATTTTCATAATAGTAACTTGTTTAAGAATGATGCCATCTATACAACTCCATAGCCCCCGCACTGACTGGTGGGTGGGTCACAATGGCATAATGGGTATTTAATGATCAACCTCAACCCAGAGTATCTTATATGGAAGGTCTGGAAAATACCCTTTCCCCAGGGCCCCAATGCACAATCACCCTATAAATGGCCTGTGGGAAACACTTAAAGATTTACAGTTTACATCTGTGGCTATGTGATTTTCCACAGAATACATCACAGGGACCCAGCTTCTCCTCAGTTACCCCTCTAGTTCTGAATTGACTTACCTCTAGAATTGATGATAGCCTGTGAGTTCTCATTCTGGAGTGTGTAATCACATTTACACCCACAAGGTTCTATATCTCAGTCAATATCTCAGTGGAATACACATTCATTTCATTCCTGTAAACCCACAATCAACTCACTACTACCACAGATTCCAACAAGTCAAAGCAGTTGGCCATTCTGACTCTACCTATGATAGAAATTGTGCCTATTTTTTCTAATGGTTAAGGACCACCACTTGGCCTCTGCCTAGCCAGTACCTCATCATTCCCATTAAAGCTAGGATCCTGGGAAGATGGCGGCGTAGGAGGACGCTGGGCTCACGGCGCGTCCTGCTGATCACTTAGATTCCACCTACACCTGCCTAAATAACCCAGAAAACCGCCAGAGGATTAGCAGAACGGAGTCTCCGGAGCCAAGCGCAGACGAGAGGCCCACGGGAGAGGGTAGGAAGGGCAGCGAGGCGGTGCGCGCTCCACGGACTGGCGGGAGGGAGCCGGGGCGGAGGGGTGGCCTGCAGGCCAAGCAGAGCCCCCGAGTCTGGCTTGCAAAAGCGGAGGGGCCGGATGGAGTGTGTTCCGACAGCAAGCGGAACTTGACATCTGGAAGGTTATAAACTAACAGCTCTGCTCCGAGAACGGGAAGGCTGGAGGACAACGGGAGGGAGAGGTGTTGAGCCCCGGAGGACAGAGCTCAGCTTGGCGGGGAACAAAGGCGCTCGCCAGCGCCATCTCCCTTGCCCATCCCCCAGCCAAAATCCCAAAGGAAACCAGTTCCTGCCAGGGAACTTGCTTGCACCGCGCAAACACCCAATGCTGTGCTTTTGCAGATCCATCCCTCCACCGGGTCTGACTCCCTCCCGGTGCCGCAGGGCCCCTCCCGAAGAGGATCTCCAAAGGAAAAGCGAGCTGAGCCTGCCCCTCCGGCCCCTGTGCACCTTGCCGATCCACCCCAGCTAATACACCAGATCCCCAGCACCACAAGTCTGGCAGTGTGCAAGTAGCGCAGATGGGCCATGCCACCCCACAGTGAATCCCGCCTCTAAGAGAGGGGAAGAGAAGGCACACACCAGTCTGACTGTGGCCCCAGCGGTGGGCTGGGGCCAGACATCGGGTCTGACTGCGGCCCCGCCCACCAATGCAACTTATTCAAGACAGCACAGGGGAAGTGCCCCTCAGTCCCACACCACTCCAGAGACTATCCAAAATGAGGAAACGGAAGAATTCCCCTCAGAAAAATGTCCAGGAAATAACAACAGCTAACGAACTGATCAAAAATGATTTAAACAATATAACAGAAAGTGAATTTAGAATAAGAGTCATAGAATTAATCTCTGGGCTTGAACACAGTATAAAGGGCAGCAGAGAATCTCTTGCTACAGAGATCAAGGGACTAAGGAACAGCCAGGAGGAGCTAAAAAATGCTATCAATGAACTGCAAAATAAAATGGAGACAACTATGGCTCAGATTGAAGAGGCAGAGGAGAGAATAGGTGAACTAGAAGATAAAATTATAGAAAAAGAAGAAGCTGAGAAAAAGAGAGATTAAAAAAATCCAGGAGTATGAGGGGAAAATTAGAGAACAAAGTGATGCACTAAACAGAAATAATTTACACATAATTGGTATTCCAGAGGAGGAAGAGAGAGGGAAAGGTGCTGAAGGTGTGCTTGAAGAAATAATAGCTGAGAACTTCCCAGATCTGGGGAAGGAAAAAGGCACTGAAATCCAAGAGGCACAGAGAACGCCCTTCAGACATAACTTGAATCGATCTTCTGCACGACGTATCATAGTGAAACTGGCAAATTACAAGGATAAAGAGAAAATTCTCAAAGCAGCTAGAGATAAACATTCTCTAACATACAAAGGGAGACCTATAAGACTCGTGACCGATCTCTCTACTGAAACTTGGCAGGCCAAAAAGGAATGGCAGGAGATCTTCAATATGATGAACAGAAAAAATATGCAGCCAAGAATCCTTTATCCAGCAAGTCTGTCATTTAGAATAGAAGGAGAGATAAAGGTCTTCCCAAACAAAAACTGAAGGAATTCATCACCACTAAACCAGCCCTACAAGAGATCGTAAGGGGGATCCTGTGAGACAAAGTACCAGAGACATTGCTACAAGCGTGAAACCTACAGACATCACAATGACGCTAAACCCATATCTTTCTATAATAACACTGAATGTAAATGGACTAAATGCGCCAACCAAAAGACATAGGGCATCAGAATGGATAAAAAAAAAGACCCATCTATTTGCTGTCTACAAGAGACTCATTTTAGACCCGAGGACACCTTCAGATTGAAAGTGAGGGGATGGAGATTTATCATGCCACTGGAAGTCAAAAGAAAGCTGGAGTAGCCATACTTATATCAGACAAACTAGACTTTAAATTAAAGGCTGTAACCAGAGATGAAGAAGGGCATTATATAATAATCACAGGGTCTATCCATCAGGAAGAGCTAACAATTATAAATGTCTATGCGCCGATACAGGAGCCCCCAAATATATAAAACAATTACTCACAAACATAAGCAACCTTATTGATAAGAATGTGGTAACTGCAGGGGACTTTAACACTCCACTTACAAAAATGAATAGATCATCTAGACACACGGTCAATAAAGAAACAAGGGCCCTGAATGAGACATTGGATCAGATGGACTTGACAGATATATTTAGAACTCTGCATCCCAAAGCAACAGAATATACTTTCTTCTCGAGTGCACATGGAACATTCTCCAAGATAGATCACATACTGGGTCACAAAACAGCCCTTCATAAGTATACAAGAGTTGAAATCATACCATGCATACTTTCAGACCACAATGCTATGAAGATTGAAATCAAGCACAGGAAAAAGTCTGGAAAACCTCCAAAAGCATGGAGGTTAAAGAACACCCTACTAAAGAATGAGTGGGTCAACCAGGCAATTAGAGAAGAAATTTAAAAATATATGGAAGCAAACGAAAATGAAAATACAACAATCCAAACGCTTTGGGACGCAGCGAAGGCAGTCCTGAGAGGAAAATACATTGCAATCCAGGCCTATCTCAAGAAACAAGAAAAATCCCAAATACAAAATCTAACAGCACACCTAAAGGAAATAGAAGCAGAGCAGCAAAAACACCCCAAACCCAGCAGAAGAAGAGAAATAATAAAGATCAGAGCAGAAATAAACAATATAGAATCTAAAAACACTGTAGAGCAGATCAATGAAACCAAGAGTTGGTTTTTTGAAAAAATAAACAAAATTGATAAACCTCTAGCCAGGCTTCTCAAAAAGAAAAGGGAGATGACCCAAATAGATAAAAAAATGAATGAAAATGGAATTATTACAACCAATCCCTCAGAGATACAAACAATTATCAGGGAATACTATGAAAAATTATATGCCAACAAACTGGACAACCTGGAAGAAATGGACAAATTCCTAAACACCCACATGCTTCCAAAACTCAATCAGGAGGAAATAGCTTGAACAGACCCATAACCAGCAAAGAAA